TAATATTTGTTCTTATATAAAACGTATAAGAACAAGTATTTAGTACTCGTAAAAAACTATATCTTGTATAAAACCTTTTAAAGTGTCAATGACAAATTAAGTAAAAAGGAGAGAGAGAGAGAAAGAGAGAGAGAGAGAGAGCGTGTGTGTGTGTGTGTGTGTGTGTGTGTGTGTGATTTCAAGTAACCATGCTGTCCGAATGTACACAACTTAATTAAAAAAAAGTTTAAAAAGTTAAAGTTTACAAACATATTTTTAAAGTTAATCTTTTAAACCAGTATACAATTATATATATATATTATTTATTGAGTTGCAAATATTGACAAGGTTATTGCACCAGACCTGAATCAAATATGCCTTTTCATAAAGTTTTATGCTCATGTCACATACCAACAAATATTATTAAAATATTAGTAATATTTTAAAACAAACTGCTTCACTCCTTCATTTTCTAAATAAATACTATTAAAAGATTGAAAGGATATCAGCACTTCCCAGAATTTCATCCGTTTATTATCAGATTCTGCCCAGTTACACCGCCTTCACATTTAAGGCTCACCAAAATAAAACAAAAAAACTCTTAATTCAAAAACCTTTCTTTATCGATGATGTGCATTCAAGTGATTTTTGAAACTTATGCAGACAAAAACGTTTATTAAAAGATTTATTAAATTGTTCATTACATGTAGGCCTGATGTTACAGAAGTGATGTGAAAGATATGTCATGTATGCTGCAGTTTATATCATTCTCAACTGATATCAGCTTACTCTGAAACGCGTTCTGAAATCAAATCAATGGGTGCCACTGTTCACATAAAATTGTTTTTTTTTGGCTTCTCTTCCAATGACAAAGTTGCATTCAGACATCCCATGATATTCCTCTGCTCCTCTTTAACGTTTAAAATGACCTTAGAGCAATTTTCTGGATTGCTCCTGTGTCAGCGAGTGTCCGGCGCCAGTAGAATGCAAGTTCTTATTTAAAAGAAAGGAAGTGGGCTGAAATTATGTTTTTGAGATAAGCTTGCCAACCGACTGTAGTGATGAAGGAATCTGTGGCCCTTGAAAATGGCCTATCCTCCGGCTAGAATTACAGAACGCAGGACCGGCACAGTCTTCCGGTGAACAAAGACATTTCTGAGAGCCAAATAAAGAGCTACGCTGTTTTCCAGAGCCCTCCATACGAACATCAAACTGATTAATGCATTTGTGATGAACAGACGCCATACTGTCTTAGTATTAAATGTCACTCATAATAAGTGTCTTAACCTGTGAACCGCGGCTCAGTTGATGTATGCTGTTGTACTCTCGTGGATTCCTTCGTTCTGTCTTGTAATTTGTACGAATGACTGTTTAACTGTGTTACAGTGGTTTCCATGGAAGTGTGTGTTTGGACACATAGCAAAGTGGATAAGAGGCCATATTTAAACAGGCCCCTGTCAATTTTAGCTGCAAATTGAGAACATTGCGTCATTCCGGACCTAATCATCAGATCATCTTCTCGATAGCAATATTCGCCACGGTTTGAGTTCGTTTCCAACATACACATACATTCTCATTTCTTCCCCTGAACTGATGGCCAGATCCACGTGTTTCAAATCATCTGGAGGTATATTTGTCCTTTGATTTCCGTGGAATATCTGGGCAAAGGCCAGTCACGCCTCCATGACCATCAATGTCTGATCTGACTCTGAAGTTCACTTAATCTTAATGATGGATCAGAAGGCCTCCCAGCTCGAGGTCAAAATATTCCAGATTCTTTCATGACCCAGCTAGATAAAAATGTCATTTGTTTTTGTTTAGTTCCCTGTGAAGACCTTTGATGATCTAACAAGAGAGCAATTTGAACGCTCGATTTGAAAGTTACGGTTTCTAACATGCGGTCAGTTCAGTTTTAAATACAAACATACACACAAACACAGTCTCTATACGGCCTGTTTGTTTAAATTTTTAACATTTTAAACCAAGCTTCTCATCAATGTCTTTAAAATATTAAACCCATATAACAAACACTAATAAAATATTAATATATTATAAAACAATTAAACTTTTTTTAAATATTGACATAATATAATTTTGCTATATTATACAGTATATTGTCAATTGGCCTGTTTAAATTGTTTACATTGTACACCAAGCTCCATATCAATTAATAAAAATATTAAACTAAAATAATACAAATATAAGTATATTATAAAATAAATATTTATAAAATATAATTTTCTGTATTCTGTTTTACTGCAATTTTCTATATTTTTAAATCTGTAGTCAACCTCTGAAGAATTAAGATTTCATAATCATACATTTTGTTTGGCCTGTTTGTTTAAACTGTTAACATTGCAAACTACGTTTAATTTCAATTTATAAACAATTTATAAACATTTTGAGATATTGGATTTTTGACTTTCATCAGACAGACGCTCTAATCATCTAAATTAAAACAAAAAAACGTTTGAAATGTTTTGCTTTACATGTAAGGAATCTAGAATATATGAAAGTTTCACTTTTTGAAATAAGTTACAGAATTGTTTTTGTTTTTTTCACGATATTCACATTTTTTGAGATGCACCTGTATTTAAAATTACAGTTACTTGAATAGGTCTGAAATTAAAGAAACACAAATAACATATCATAAAATATTTACACTGGAATGTTTATTTTTTATGACTTCAATACATCTGTCACAACGTCATATTCAAGATGCATCACAAAAAGCAAACAAGTTACATCAGAAACCTCTACGACAAGGGACCAACCATCAAAAATGCAATACTGAAATATATTATTTAGATCAATAAATGCATAATGCAAAAATATACAGATATTATGCTTTTTAATTGTTTTGGCTTGCATTGTGCACAGTATAAAGGTATCAAGACAAATATACCATATAATTTAACAATAACACCCTAACTGGAATGCCAGTTGCAAAGAGTTCAATGATTTAACTGGAATATAGGTAAAGTTGAATATGATAAATAATGCCTCATGTCTGTGGGCTTGTGTTGAATGCACACCGGTGTGTCAGAACAGTGCATTTACCCACAGGATCTGGAGCACCAGCTGACATCACTGTACATTAACCGGAAGATGGAATCTTTTTTTACAATCCTTCACAGGAGAAACTCCAGTCACGACATATATATTTTTTGGAAATCAAACATTTTGTGCAAATACCATTTTTCTTTCTTTTTTTCATAAAAAACACTACAAACATTCATAAATTGTTGAAACATTGCAACAGACACATTCACAATGTTGCTTGCGAAAGCTGCCCTTTTCATTCGGGAAAAAATATTTCACTTAATTACAGGGCGTACATATGGATTATGTGAATAAATATATACTATATTCACAATAAATCTGTTAGGTAATAATCATTGCAACATGAATGTGGTATAGCTTTACAGAATTAATGATGCATTACTAAACAAAGTACCTTTTTGGTTATGTCCTTAGACCATAACTTGCATTTCAAATATCTATGGCTTTATTGACAAAATGAGTGCTGTGATATTAGTAATTATGCAAGAAAACGAATTCACTTCCAAATCATTTAAATGTATGTTTATATAAGTGGCACAAATTTGCGGTACAAGCAAATAAGGTTCCTTCCTCTGCAAAAGGTCAAAAGTGGTCCGATTCAAAAGAATCCAGCTGTCAAACTCTTATTACAGTAAAAGTTGTGGGAGGCAAATATACTGTATATATTAAAAGTGCAGTTTTTTATCATTCCTTCAACCTGTAAAACATAAGTGGTTTTCATTTCCTTTCATAACAGTGGGTTACCCAGCATAAATAGGAACAGAAACAAATTACAACGAATCTTCAAATGTGAACAATCACACGCCACAAACCACCATCATATGGTAAACATCGCACAACTCAAGGTATTTTTCAATGAAACACATTCTGTGGAACAAATGTCACACTCTCTTCCCTTAGAACTACTTACCAGCTTTTTAATTTAAGAAGGGCTCATGTTTGGTAACAGAGTCTGTAGTGATGGGATCATTTTTTAAATTTAATCCAGTGTTTCTGAACACTGAAATGCAATCTATTAGAAACAGATGTAGTGTAAAGTGGATGATGCCACTTCATACATCAATTGTAAGAGCAAACAATACTAAATGGGCAGTGAAATGAGCAGATACATCAATCTGTCATAGCAAGTAAACACATAAACTGAACCGACTCTCAAATCACCTAAATCCACTCTTCACCTAAAAACACCACAACAGAGCCCAACAGCATGTTTCCGGATGTAAAAATCCCATTCATTTTCTCCACAGAGAACTTCAAAACAGACTAACCAAAGGTTATATCAATTAATTTAGATATGGTCATATACAGTATATTTTTTAAAAAGCAACGAGACAGACAGACAGACAGACAGACAGACAGACAGATAGATAGATAGATATTTACTTATAGATATAGACTTGTAACATTGTTTTTAAAATTTACATAAATATTTTTTATATATTGTATTTTGTATAAATGTTTATATATATATATATATATATATATATATATATTAGTGCTGTCAACGATTAATCGCGATTAATCGCATCCAAAATAAAAGTTTTTGTTAATACACATATATGCATGTATATATTTAAGAAAATATGTTATTAAATATATTTCTATATAATATAAATTATATGAATATGACTATATACATGTAAATATTTTCTAAATATATACTGCATGTGTGTGTATTTATATATAGATAATATATATACAGAGTGCACACACATATTATGTGAACAAAAACTTTTTTTGGATGCGATTAATCGCGATTAATCGTTTGACAGCACTAATATCTATCTATCTATCTATCTATCTATCTATCTATCTATCTATCTATATATATATATATATGTATATATATATGTATA